GGAAACAAACCTTTTTTGAGCCCGTTTGGCCATTAGCGACGTTGACCTTGACCTACTTGCATAAAAGTAGGTCATTATCTGTGGATTCACCTCAGTATCTCTGGCCATAAGGCCCATAGCCATATGGCTTATACTTTAGGCCTAATGGCAATTACAAATTTTACAAATTTTGCCTTTAAAAGCCCCTGTGACCTTGAATAGTAGGTCAAGGTCACTGAAACTGGGTCTGTGGCATATTCTTACCATAGGCTACCTATGTAAATTATTTCAGATTTTTGTGCAAAATTGTTGGTAAATAATAACTTTTGCTGACTCGTCGCATCATAATTTTTAGGATGATGAGTCTCATTGAATATTTGATATATAATTTTTATCCCTAAGGCCATAACATTTAATACAGGCAACAATTTGCTACATTGTTATTATTGTTAAAACGATTAGGATAGAGGGGTTATATAATAAAAGCGGCCTGGTGTGGCCAAATCACGAACAAACAATATTCCTTGTTACCTTCTTTCTTGCTATGAATGAGACTATAAAAGTTTGTGGTACACTGAGATGGAGGAGACATAAACAATAGTATTCCCCTATGGGGAATCCTAATGACTGATTTGCTCCATTCTTAGATTCTGATCATAGTGAGGGGTTGAATCTGACAAACAGACCAAAATGACCGTCTATTTAGCTAGAGACATATATGTGAATATCTGTGGAAAATCAATCTGTCACCCTGGTAGAGGGTACAAAAACAGCCTTTACTTCAACAAAAGTAATCTAATCAAGTTAATTTTTGAACTTAATCTATATCAGACCTCTGAATCAGTCCTGCAAGTTTCAAAGCAAAATATGACATGGTTTTCATTTTATTTGTATAATGATAGGTAAAGTATGCTGAAAAAAAGCAAAAAAAAAAAAAAAAAAAGCTTAACTTTTAGAAAAATGGACCAATCAGGTTGATTTTCTAAGTGGACCTGTATTTCATAAATGATCATCAGTTCTGTAAGTCTGAAGACAAAAGGTAAAACATTTTATTTGTATAATGGTGGATAAAATATGCTAAAAAAAAGCAAAAAAAAAAAAGCTTAACTTTTAGAAAAATGGACCAATCAGGTTGATTTTCTAACTGGACCTGTATTTCATAAATGTTCATCAGTTCTGTAAGTCTGAAGACAAAAGGTAAAACAATTTTATTTGTATAATGGTGGATAAAATATGCTGAAAAAAAAAAAAAAAAACAGCATAACAATCGCAAAAATGGTCCAATCAGGCCGATTTTCAAACTTGACCTGAATTTAATGAATATTCATCACTTCTGTAAGTTTGAAAACAAAATGTAAAACCATTTTCATTTTATTTGTATAACAATGAAAGTGCATGGTGACGAGGCCAATGACTGACACAGGTAACGGCAATAGGTACAAACACATCTGTGTCTGTACATACAGAGAGCATTCACATCAAGAAAAGCCGAGGTCTTACAAGGCCGAGACCTAAATATGGCGTACCTACATGAAAGGAAGGCGGCATAATCCTTTAATGATCTCTCAATGAATGTCAGTAAATGTCATTGAGAGACCATTTAAGGATTACGCGGTCTTCCTTTCATGTAGGTCCGCCATATTTAGGTCTCGGCCTTGCTAGACCTTGGCTCTTCTCGATGTGAATGTTCTCACAGATGAGCTCAGAAAGAATGCTCTATATTGTTTTCTGTTTTTTTACAGTGTACCTCTTGTTTCCATAAGTAACTATCTAGCTAAAAGCGATAATTACGTATAGGGTATCACAGCTGACACCTCTGTGGTCACAGTCTGTTTAGACAGGGGATAACACCCCATGCTGCAATGAATCACCAAACTATTTTGTCTGTTGATACCTCAGTGAGCTGACATTCATTTTGTTTAAGCAAGGACGTTGAAAATTCAATTTATGTTCTTGGTTCGAGTAACACAATCCATTTATAAAAGAGGGACAACGTTATAAAAAGTAACCAGTTAAGCTGTTAAAAAGTGTAACTTTTGAAACATTCCATTTTTTTCTGAGCTGAACTGTAATCACCAACCATGGAAAACGAAAGTATATGAAATATCCTGTGTAAACAAATACAACCACGTTTTACAAAACAAATTACTTTACTACACTCTTTATCTTTACACATGTAAAGCCAGGGCGACTTCCCCTAGCTTCAAATGACAAGGATTCTGAAATGACATTTTACTGGCTGTGGATTAGCCATTTTATGACACTTTACACCACCTCCACAGGTTTTAACTTGCTGATGAAGGTAATACACCGTCTTGTCTATGAACTACCCAGTCTTCCAAGTTTACAGCTGTCTCTATCAATTTGGTAATGCTACCATATGAATACACAGTGGAGGATGTACAATATGCTGGTGGCTCTGTGGTTGTCTGTGATATCCTCCTTAGCATTCTTAGTGCTTTCAAATCACTTTAAACATCTATATCTAGTCTAGTTGACAGCTATATGCACTATGCAACGCCCATCAAAACCCTCTCAAAGCAACATGCTCATATTCAGTGTATATCCACATGGATGGTGTCAACGTTTATTTCAAAAATATCATTGCATTACTCAAGGGCAAAAGACTGAGATTTTCTTCCAGCCAGTCTATATATACACACAATCTCTTGGTTCAGTCTTATAGTTCAGTCTAAATATACAGTTATCAACCCAAGTAAATCAGAACATATGATCCACTTATAGCATAATATCAGCCGTCCTGTTGTATGAAAGGATTTGGTATGGCCTCCATCCCATCAGCGGGACATATTAAAACTACAGATGTCCCCCGACACACCACTAAGCCTAGATGGCGATTGTCTTCTGTCAACTTGAAAGGGTCATCTGGGTCTGAAAAGCATAAAAATGTAAATTAGAGGGCACCCAAATAAAAGCTGTAGAATACCTCTACTGTACCTCTACCTCTACTAAACCATCTGCATCACCAAAAAAGTCCTTGTTACAGCCATCAAACATATTTTCAAAACATTTTGTTGCATTTTCCTTACCTATAAAGTGGCTTTAAACAAAAATAAAAGGTTTTGGTAAGATGTTTCATGTCTTTCCTTGGTTTTGGTAAGATGTTTTATGTCTTTCCTTTCTGTCCATTTCACCTGATTTGCTCATGAAAACTATCCAGACATTTTCTCCAAAAGCTTTCTTTATATTTCTAGGGAATGGGTCATATTCATATTTACTGTCTGTACCAATTATGATTTCAAATATTGTTGTAACAGTTGCTTTTTTAAAATATCAATTAAATTTAATGGTATTTTACATGGCACATGTATATTCAAATGTATAACAGCAAAACTTAACCTAATCTGATACAGAAAATTATCCTTTATGCCTATTAAAAATCTTGGTGATCCAAATATTTTCATTCATTATACAACATGCTGTCCTTACCTCTGAGGTATTCTGTTGTGCCATCCAATACTAAATTAAGAAGAGGATCAAACCCTTTCAGAATTCCACTGGCTGAAAAATATAATAAAGGATTTATCTCACATAAAAAGTAAGGCAAAGAACTACATTAGTAGTACTTCATATTACACCCAGAGGTCAAGTTTTGTCAAGTTTGTACAATGTATCATGATCTTAGCAACCCTGTTGATGCATATAGCTTAGCATGAAAATTCATGCATTAGCACTCCTATTGACGATTGTGATATGTACTGTCTGGCTTCACAGTAATGTGCGCGTTGAGGAGATGAGATGTAAAATAAAAATTTGAGAGCTGCCGCACTGCGGCTGGTTCGGCAACCTGTTTTCATGTCCAACTTTTTGAGGCCTTTGCTTTAAAGCATTAGCACAGACAGTACATATCAGAACCGTCAATAGGAGTGCTAACGCATGAATTTTCGTGCTACATGTAGCTGTGCTGAAATTTCAGCCATAAAAAAAAAACAGATTGCACAACAGAATCACAGCCCTGTACCTTAAACAACATCTACATGTTAAGCTATATTGGAATTGCACCATCAAATTTACCTTCTCGTCCTCCACTGAACTTTACTCTGATGGGTTTTTCTAAATACTTGCTCAAATCTAATATGCTTTCCTTTTTCTTCTTCTCTCTCTGATCCCCTTGACCCTGCCCTTGCTGGAGAGAAAATGTGTAACATATTGTTAAATTATATACCTACACATTATAACAAATAGAAATGGACTGGTGACAACACAATAATTTGGGTACGTGGTGGTATAATCATGCCCATATATACAAAACTAATACTGCCCAAGAAGTTATAACTTCTTGTACTGCCGTTCTGACAGGAATGGTAGTCCTAGGAATGAAAGTCCGGGGTCCCATAGGATAAGTACAGGTTAGGGTTAGTAGAAGTATTGGGTTTAGTATATGAGACGAATGTCACCCGTGAAAAGTAATGGGGAACGGACTAGCAGGCTACCATTCCTGTCACAACGGGAGTACTGTCAAATATCACCGATTTGTCGAGAGACGAGACCCAGCTTCACTGGAACCGGTTGATTATTGGTTTTAGTATTAAACTTTGAACTTCAGCGACACACCATAAGGTATTATTTGCTTTTCAAACATTTAATCTTGACAATTATCCTCAAACTAACACACCGCAGTACTCATATGAACAGAACACACGCGGTGTCGCCACAAAACAAAAAACGTGGGACTCACGCACCTGCGCCATCTTTGTATTCTCGTGAAAAGATGCGAGATATTGAGAGATGTCAACAATGTCTTCCTCGTTCCAGTCCTTTGGGGTGAAAGCTAGAAATGTGGTTGTTGTTGTAATTTACCTTCTTTGTCTCAGCAATCAGGTATCATTCGTGTTAAATATGACTGTTAACTCTAACTTTACAATATACTTTACAATAACAATGTTGGATTTTTTTGCTGAAATCTTGCCTCAGGTTTCAGCTTTACGAGTACATGGTACGTCATTAGTCATTATATTTTCATTGTACTAGTACGTGGACATGTACTGGCAACTTGCAAAAACGAAACTAGCGGAAAGCTTCGGGGTTTGATGGATAAATGAAATGTTTCCGGCATTGTTAGATTATTAGAAATGAGGTGTGGGGAGGAGCCGGGATACTAGTAAAACACCTCTACATTGGGACACTGTACATTGGGACATGCATGCTGTCTTCAAATAGATCTACGGTATTTATAAAGTTAAACATATCAGTTAGTTGTTTCCTGCTCATTGAAATGGAAATTATGCAGTAATAAGTTGGTTAGCCTTCATCAAAGTACAATGTACAAGATGTAATTAATTTTTCTTTGTGAAAGATTTAATTTAAAAATATTTAAATTTGTAGGTCCAAGCAGATCTAGGACTACTGTATGCACAGAATGATAAAGACTCGACATCTTCAGGCTTATTTTGTGTTGCATACAATCCTGGTTTTCATGAATTACCTAAGACAAGAGAGGAAGCAGTAAGTTGTGGGCAATTTTTTAAAATTATATATAATATAATTTTTCATTACTAAATTTTTTATCCTATATGATTTATTGCCTCACTGGAAAAACATTCTTATACAAATCATGCTACCTCTTTAAATGTGTTGGTCAGATATTTTAGCTATTTAATTGGAATTTGGCCAAAATGCTCAAATAAGTTATATTACTATTACTATAAAACTTCAAACAGTGGTTGCAAATTGCGTCTGGAAGCAACTGCATCGTTTAAAGCTACAGTATGCAGAAGTTTAAATGATACACTTGACCTGCATACATGGATCTGAATAATACATTTCATGTTTGCTAAGAGTTAGCTGTACACTTGAAAATCAGCTTGATCAAAGGTTAAAAGAGAGATTTATTAGGTATGGCCCCAAAGGCTGCAAGTACCTCACTGTATGTGTGACCTTGATATTCCAAATAATATATTTGTTAAAAGCTATATCATATCACCACCACATGAACTCACAGTCTGCATACAACAAAAAGTTTACAGTTATTGTTGATACAGTTGTACCATAGACCTAGAACTGAACATAGAGTCAGTACTATCTGAACACTGTTTTCCTTATGAACATACCCCCCCCCCAAACAAATAAATAAATAAATAAATAAATAAATAAATAAATAAATAAAATAATGATGGAGGTGCTAGTTAAAAAGTGCAAATTTGATGGACAGGGTATTTAGTAGGCTTAAGTGGCCTTCAGTTTCATAAAATATTTCCAGTTTGTAACATTTGATTTTTAAGCATATACTATACAAGAGAGAGAGAGAGAGAGAGAGAGAGAGAGAGAGAGAGAGAGAGAGAGAGAGAGAGTGGAAGGGGAAGCTGCTCATTATGAAATGTCTTAGATTCAAAGAGAGGTACATGATAAATCATTTACTCTTTCAGTTGAGAGAACCTTTTCTTGATTTGATGCCACAAATACTCTGTGAGGATGGCACCTTCCCAAACATGCACAGTAAGTGTGTTGCTGTCCAGAGAGGCAACTGTACATTTAGTGAGAAAGCCAGGATTGTCCAGGGCCATCAAGGTAGGACAGCCCTGGTGGTCAGCAAGGAGCAGAATTTGGTGAGTGGCCACCTCTGGGTGTCATCTGATTTGTTTGTATTGTTTTGCATATGGTGCATGTACTGGTCATTTACAATATACATATTAATGAAATTTAACTAATATGACACAATAAGGGGGACATGAAATGTCCAAACTTTCCTAATGAAAGCAAACAAAGGAGAGATTGAATAATGTGTCATTGTAAAAATTTTGTTTTTGTTATACTGGTATTCAATTTATTCTCATTACTATTTTGATTTATTGACATGCTTTAACCTTACATTATTCTTTTCACATATCTTGGTATTATGATTTTATTGCAGGACCAGCCTTCAGCTGCTAACAAATCTGATTATGATTCCATATCTATAGCAGTTGCTGTTATACGTCACAATGATTATAAGCAAATTAAGGTAAGGAAAATAAGTGATATTGGTATGATTTTTAAATTATACTTAATATTGTTTTGTAATGAATTCTTTTTATTTGATATCTCAATAGAGAAAAAGCACAGTGCACTGAAATATTGTAAGTTTCCACACTTCTTTGATTGATTGAGTGTAGAGGTGAAATAGTTTTCACTGCGTGCATATTTGCAGGGTGGGAACTGAAATGTTTGTGAGTAGGCATATATGCGTGTATCTGCAAGTGTGTGTAGTTGTGTGTGAGTGCGTGCATGCATGCATGCGCATGTATGTGTGTGTGTAGGTGTGAGATATATGCGTCTTTGTCAGAGTTTTTTTTTATTTCTTTGCAGACACTAGGGTCCAATTTGAGTGTATGGCTGTATTCCCCAGATGGGCCAAAAGTAGATTACAACATGTTCATCATCTGGACCTTAGCTGTGGGGACGTTGGTCATTGGGGCTGAATGGTCAGGAAGAACAAAACACAAACAGTAAGCGCGGGGGTGTGATAGATTGTTAGGGCAGACTGTGTCACATGTGACAGCAGAGCACCTGTCTTACAGTGTTAATGACATATTTTGTAAAGTCTTAAATAAATTGTAACTCAGGTTATAAGTCTTTTTTTTCTTATGTGTTGTCAAACTAATCAGAATATTAACTCTCTGAAAAATATGAAGAGTTCGTTTTTGTTAGAATTTGATTTGTATTCCAGACGGAAAAAAAGCCGCAGCAGTGAGGAAGATGTGGAAGGTCAAAGATCTGAGGAGGAGGATGACACGTTTGATCTGTCACCTAAAGTTATCCTGATATTTGTGGTTCTGATGTGTGGTATGATAGTGGCATTGTATTTTCTCTATGACTATCTTGGTAAGTTGCTTGACTGCCACAAAACTNTTAAATAAATTGTAACTCAGGTTATAAGTCTTTTTTTTCTTATGTGTTGTCAAACTAATCAGAATATTAACTCTCTGAAAAATATGAAGAGTTCGTTTTTGTTAGAATTTGATTTGTATTCCAGACGGAAAAAAAGCCGCAGCAGTGAGGAAGATGTGGAAGGTCAAAGATCTGAGGAGGAGGATGACACGTTTGATCTGTCACCTAAAGTTATCCTGATATTTGTGGTTCTGATGTGTGGTATGATAGTGGCATTGTATTTTCTCTATGACTATCTTGGTAAGTTGCTTGACTGCCACAAAACTAAAAAAAAGGAAACACACACACACACACACACACACACACACACACACACACACACACACACACACACACACACACACACACACACACACACACACGTTAGTTTGTGATATAAAGGGTAACTGATTATGTTTGAGTAACATTTTGTGTAAAGATTTTTAAAATATAGATTGAACTGAGTAATGTATTAGTAGGGGAAGACAGAAATCACACTCAAGTTTTCTTCAAAGGATGTAGATGCCATACTTTTTATACAAATGTCCTTCTGTATCTAATGTACTGTTCTATCGCAATATATAATGCATATATTATTCCTATAGACTTATTTCTGAACAATATTTAATAACTTTCAGTATACGTGCTGATTGGGTTGTTTGTCATAGCTTCATCATGTGGATTGTACTTCTGTTTAGAGGCACTTATGTCTAAGACATCTTTAGGAAATTGTAGGTAAGTGTGTATGTGTGTGTGTGTGTGTGTGTCTTGTGAAGTGTTTTATTCGGAGGTAGAGAACATACCTAGGAAGCTTTTCTAACAGGAAACTAAAACTGCTGAAGTTATTAGTTAGTTACACAGTCATGTTTTAGTTTAAATTTGAAATAGTTGATGTGCTCAATGAATTTAAGGCCCTGGTCATGGGATAGTTGATAATGATATTGATTATTTGAAGCTCTTTATAATTTTTTCTTTTTAGGATTCCACCAAATAATCTCCCTGTATTTAAGTATCAACCAGAGATCCGTGCAATAATACTAGCCATTGCATGTTTAGGACTGGGGATATTCTGGGCCATAGAAAGAAAAGCAAGGTAAACATTTCTATCAACACATTGGTGAACACCCAAGGTACAAACATCTGCAATGTCTTCTATGTTCATGCAGTATGACATCCAACTCATTGATATGTGGTACTACATCTAGTAGTATATGTCAACACAAAACTTTTTTGTCCAAGTAAATTTAATAGATAAAGAGTTTATCTATAACTCATCATAATTTGTTTCCTCAAAACACACTTAATCACATAAATGATTCATTTTAAGTTGAAATTCATAGTTTGAGACATTTACTTCTCATTACATACGTGGAATTTTTTCAGATTAAAACAGATCACAAATTTGCTGAATTTATTATTTTTGTAGTTATGCTTGGATATTTCAAGATATTCTTGGGGTTGCCTTTTGCATCAATATGTTGAAAACTGTAAGACTGCCACATTTTATGGTAAGTACTACCTTGCAAACCTCCCAACATATATATCATACCAAACATATTGCACCACTTATAACTTCTGACCAGCACCTGCTACTCAGTCATGTTTAAAACAGATTTCTGAGCTGCTTCTGTAGCTTCACTGATTGCTCATGAAAAACATTCTGACCTCAACAAGATAAAGACCCCCCACCTTTCTCTCCCCTCCCCCCCCCCCCTCCCTGGGTCCATATTGTAATAATTTAAGACTAGTTGACATCAGTGTTACTGTAAAACTGGGACCAAATACTAAAAACAGTACCTCTAGAGCATTTGAATTAAATAAGTGGTGTAAATGGAATTTTATTGTCACACTGATAATCTTGGTATTTACATTCTTGGTATGAAAAATGACTATGATAATCATGATTTTTTTTTTAATTTTAGGGTTGTGTAATTCTGTTGGGGTTGTTGTTGCTATATGATGTGTTCTTTGTCTTCATCACTCCTCTTCTGACTAAGGTAAGTCTGTGTTTCAAGGTATTTGATCAAAGCATTTCTCATTGTCTTCATTTTATTTTATTAAATTATGATTTGGATTCAATGTGTGTGTGTGTGTGTGTGTGTGTGTGTGTGTGTGTGTGTGTGTGTGTGTGTGTGTGTGTGTGTGTGTGTGTGTGTGTGTGTGCATCTCCCTGCCCGCTCGTGTTTAATAAGTTCTTTTTGTTTTGGAGTAATGACTTAAACCAACTTGTAGCACTTATAGTAATATATAAAGTTGCTATTCTTACTTATGAAAAAGTTATTTCTCTTTCAATTATTTTTCCAGTCAGGTGACAGCATTATGGTAGATGTCGCCACTGGAGGCAGTAGTCGCACAGGAGAGCAGGTCTGTCTCATCCTGACCAGTATGTCAGGTTCTATAAAATTTTAACATTGAATGTTTAATAATTGCCTAACTACCAGACATTCAAAAACAAAATCAATAAAGGCAATTCTAACATTATTACCTCAATTGTTTATTTTAGCTTCCAATGGTGTTGAAGATACCTCACTTGTCTACATCCGAATATACCAACGTTTGCCCAGTTCTTTCTCCATACTCATTACTTGGGTTTGGAGACATCATTGTACCAGGTATGATGATTATCTGAATGGTTATTTGAGTACATCATCAACCTTATTTTTTTTGCTACCTTTTTATCATTTTTATAGGTGGTTACCATTAATATTTATCTGTGCATACTAATATGGCACTGAAAGCATTTTTTCACAAGAAAAATGCAACAAGTTATGTGAGCATTATATCAGTGCAGTATTTCAAAGTAATGCTTATTTAAGCTATTGACAGAATGTGCATAGGTTTTTGGCATTCGTCCTGAATGAAACAAAGTTTGGCCAATATAGAATTTGTTATTTTTTGGATGTTAAATAATATAGTATCATGGATACAAATAGATGATGGATTTAAACTACCCTGAGCTTTATATATTTTATATTCCAGGACTGCTTGTAGCATACTGTTATGCATTTGACTTGAAAGTCCAAAGCAAAAGAATATATTTTATTTCCACAACCATTGGTAAGTAATTCATATATTTGGTAGTTCTTCAACTTGCCTTCTTAAAACCAAAAAAATTATATTTTAAATTTATAGTGCAGATATAGGATAATGATAATAGTCAGGGATGTCCAGTAGCATGTATAAATCCAAGACGAGGATAAAAAAAGGAAAATGGAAATTATTTTTTATGTTTTTTTAAACAAAATCTGTTCACGTCTCATTTTTCAACAAAATTTGTTTTAATTACAATTTTGATTTTCTTTGCAGCCTATGGATTGGGGCTCATCATATGTTTTATGGCCCTGGCATTTATGGAAATTGGCCAACCTGCATTGCTGTACCTTGTACCTTGCACAGTTGGGACAACTGTTGTGATTGGCTGGGCCAGGGGAGAGCTATGTCATCTATGGAAAGGGGATCTGGTGAATAGTCACATGCATTGATATTCTTAACTTCTTTGTGGTTAGTTGCTGTCACCACAGTTTCAAACTGTTCTAGTTTCCACATTTTAACCTACATTCACGCTTTAAACATTGTATTTCATACAGGCTTATCTAAATATCTTTTTTTGTGTCTCTGAATGGCTACTTCTAAGATAATTGTACCACCAGCGTTAGCGCTGGCGGTACACATGGTTTCGGTCCCGTCCGGATCGTTCCGCCGGCTCCGCCGGACGGCTACCGTTACCGCTTCTCCTCCTAGACGGTAAGGGCCCCCGTACCCATCTCATGGATTTAGGTCACCTATAATCTCAACTCGTTCCACGTAAAATTTGGGCTTTGTCGGTATTGGGGTCTGGGTGTGGCACTCATTACAATGCACCCTTGTCTAAAAATGGCAAAATTAAATGCTAATTATCTACCCTACGGAAGGAGTTATGGGAAAAATTTCTATAGACGGCTTTCCAAAAGTCATATGTGTAGATTTCAAATATACCCTTGGATTTGACCTTTGACCTTTACTTCAAGGTCAAATGGGCCAAAATTTTCAAAAAAA